TTTTTTACTTTTTTTGATACAGAGTCTCACTCGTCACCCAGGCTGGAGTGCAGTGGTGTGATCTTGGCTCACTGCAACCTCCGCCTCCTGGGTTCAAGTGATTTTTGTGCCTTGGCCTCCTGGGTAGCTGGGACTACAGGCGTGCACCACCAAACCTGGCTAATTTTTGTATTTTTAGTGTAAATGGGGTTTCTCCATGAGCCAGGCTGGTCTCAAACTCTTGGCCTCAAGTGTTCTGCCTGCCTCGGCCTCCCAAAGTGCTGGGATTACAGGTGTGAACCACCGCGCCTGGCCTACTTTAATTTTTTTTAGAGACAGGATCTCACTTTTTGCCTAGGCTGGAATGCAGTGGTGTAATCATAGCTCACTGTGCCTCAAACTCCTGGACATAGGCGATCCTCCCGCCTCAGCCCCCCAGAGTACCTAGGCCTACAGGCATGTGCCACCACTCACAGCTATTTAAAAAATTTTTTTTCCTGTAGACACAGGGTCTCACTATATTGCCCAGGCTGGTCTCAAACCCCTGGCTTCAAGTGATTCTCCCACCTCAGCCTCCCAAAGTGCTGGGCTTATAGGTGTGAGCCACTATGCCCAGCCCACCTCAACTTCTGTCGTTCCCAGATTGGATCAGCCTGTCTTTTGTCATTCAAAACTTGATGAATTGTCATTTGTTTTTGATTTAGAAAAAAGCTATACAGAATCAAGAGAAGACTGAAGACTTACAAAACAGAGCAGAATCTTGATATGAAAAGTCTCAATCTGATAGAGAAAACACTGGTAATGCCTCTCCTCACCTCTCTGAGCAGGATATTTCTTGCCCTCAGAACGCCAGCCATAGTATCGAGATGCACCCAGCAGACAGGCACTGCACTCTAAGAAGGGAGTGGGTTCCAAAGGACCCAGTCAATCCTTGCTATTTCTCTTCCCTAGAGATCTCCCTCTCTCCCATGCCTACCCCAAGGACAGCTCTTCTGTGTATGTTTAGGAACATGAAGTTTTCTGATGGACTGTGACCTCCCTGACAGCACAAATAATAATATTATTATTTATTTATTTATTTTTTAGACGGAGTTTCGCTCTTGTTACCCAGGCTGGAGTGCAATGGCGCGATCTCGGCTCACCGCAACCTCCGCCTCCTGGGTTCAGGCAATTCTCCTGCCTCAGCCTCCTGAGTAGCTGGGATTACAGGCACACGCCACCATGCCCAGCTGAATTTTGTATTTTTAGTAGACACGGGGTTTCACCATGTTGACCAGGATGGTCTCGATCTCTTGACCTCAGTGATTCACCCGCCTCGGCCTCCCAAAGTGCTGGGATTACAGGCGTGAGCCACCGCGCCCGGCTACAAATAATATTATTTATAAACATTTTCTTTTGAGAAGCCAACAGACCCAACCTAAGGCTACAGCACAGCTGTGAGAATTTGCTGTCCCTGCTTTACCTCCCGTTTCCTTCCTCTGAGATCTGGTTTCCACTCTCATTACCCCCAAATATTGCCTTCAGGATTCTTATCTTAGGTGATTTCTCTTTAGAACTCTTTTGGTTCAAACTTTTTTTTTGAAACTTTCTCCTCCTTTGGTTCCTGTGACTTCACTCTCTCCTGGTTTTTCTTTTCTTTTTGAGATGGAGTCTCTCTTTATCACCTATGCTGGAATGCAGTGGCACAATCTTGGCTCACTGCAACCTCTGCCTCCCAGGTCCAAGTGATTCTCCAGCCTCAGCCTCTTGTGTAGCTGCAATTACAGGTGCCGCCACCACGCCTGGCTAATTTTTGTATTTTAAGTAGATACGGGGTTTCACCATGTTGGTCAGGCTGGTTTCAAACTCCCGACCCTAGGCGACCTGCCCGCCTCAGCCTTCCAAAGTGCTGGGATTACAGGCGTGAGCCACTGCACCCCGCCACTCCTGGTTTTTCTATTGTCCTAATTCTTCTGAGTCTCTTTTGAGGGTACTGCTCACCCCTTAAGTCACAGTATCCCCTTCTTCCCTTTGTAACTCCACATATTGTCCCTGGATCCTCTTTCAGCCACTTTATTATATATATATTTTTTGAAATATTGTCTCACTCTGTTGCCCAGGCTGGAGTGCAGTGTCTTGGTATAGGCTCACTGCAACCTCCACCTCCTAGGTTCAAGCAATTCTCTTGCCTTAGACTTCCAAGTAGCTGGGATTACAGGCATGCACCACCCCACCTGGCTAATTTTTGTATTTTTGGTAGAAATGGGGTTTCACCATGTTGGCAGGCTGGTCATGAATTCCCAACCACAGGCGACTTGCCTGCCTCAGCCTCCCAAAATGCTGGGATTACAGGTGTGAGCCACTGCACCCAGTGGGTGCCAGCTACCACTTTTATTCCAGTGACTTTCCACTCTACATGGTGCTTTCCTGACTTCAGAGAAGACACCTTTTCCAGTCCATCTTCTGCCCAAAACCAGTGATTCAATTTTTTTGTTGTTTTTTGAGGTGGTGTTTCACTCTTGTTGCCTCCACTGTAGTACAATGGCGCCATCTCAGATCACTGCAACCTCTGCTGCCCGGATTCAAATGATTCTCCTACCTCAGCCTTTGGAGTAGCTGGGATTATAGGCATGCACCACCATGCCCAGCTAATTTTTGTATTATTAGTAGAGATGGGGTTTTACCGTCTTAGCCATGCTAGTCTTAAACTCCTGACCCGGGGTAGTCCCCCTGCTTCAGCCTCCCAAAGGGCTGGGATTACAGATGTGAGCCACTGCACGGGGCCCAATTACTTTTTTTTAAAAATGAGGCCTCGCCGGGCACAGTGGCTCATGCCGATAATCCCAGCACTTTGGGAGGCTGAGGCAGGTGGATCACCTGAGGTCAGGAGTTCGAAATCAGCCCGACCAACATGGAGAAACCCCATCTCTACTAAAAGTACAAAATTAGCTGGGCGTGGTGGCGCCTGCCTGTAATCCCAGCTGAGGCAGGAGAATCACTTGAACCTGGGAGGCAGAGGTTGTGGTAAGCCAAAATCATGCCATTGCACTCCAGCCTGGGCAACAAGAGCGAAACTCTGTCTCAAAAAATAAAAACAACAAGGCCTGAAGGAGCAAACAACCAGTGATCTTTCTAAAATGCAAATCAAAACATATCATTAAGCAGACAAAAACTCAAGTCAAACAAAAACAAACAAGTGCGAAGAGCCATTTCTCTGACTAAAATCTTTCAGTGGTTCCACCTGCATTGCATTATGGCTATACCAAATTATATGCAGTTCCTAGAAAGGGTCAAGCTATTCTGTGCCTTTGTGGTTTTGTACAGACTATCCTGTGAGCCTAGAACATTCTTCTTACAAGTCTTCACAAAGCCTAATCCTAATAATCTTTCTAGATTGGGCTTAAATTTAAGTAAACTGTGTTAGCAGTCCCTCCCTGACATTTCAGTCTGATTTAGATACCCCCTCACTGGCCAGTACTGAATATTACCATCTCTTCTTTTTAATTATCCATTTCATTTTCTGTTTCCATCCTTCGTTGGAATCCTTGAAAACAGAGATCAACCCTCTCATCTCTGTCACCAGCACCACTGTAACACACTGGTATAAAATATTTAAAAGTTTACAAAATGAATAGGGAAAGAGCTGGCCTAGGGAAGCCACTTGGAACTTAAAGGTCAAGGGTCAGGTCTAGGCTCTTTGGAGGTGGCTACAATCACTGATCAAAAAATAAACCTCACTGATGCCCAGTGTGTTTTGTTGTTGTTAGACATATCCCTTGGTTGTCCCTTAGGCACTGCAAATTCCTAAATGTCCAAACCTGTACTATGTCTCATCTCTGTTCCAGGAAATCTCCTGTGATTACAACCCTTATTCATGGCCTCATCTTTCCCATCATCCAGGTTCAGAATCAGTCTTCTGAATCCGTTATTTCTGAATATGTCAGCCTCTAAGTCCTGCTGATTTTATCCCCTCTATTGCCTCAGTGTTTTTTTTTTTTTTTTTTTTTTTTTTTTTT